AGTTGCATTTAAAATTCCATTAAATAAGAAGACGCCCCGAAAACCTAGTCGAGAGGCGTGGCAGTTACGCATGCGTGGCAGCAAAACGCGCGCTGCCACATCCACTTGCCACGTGTGCAACAGAGCTGGCATCGTCTTGAGTTATGAAATGTACAAATTGTGTTAAATAAGTAAACAGTCGGTGCGTTGCACACATGTATGTGTGCCCGCTGATGCATGTGCCACCTGCCACAGACATCGACACAGACACAACCACAGCCACTGCCACAGCCACGGCCACAGACAGCAACACAGACACGGACACTCAGACACGCAGCAGTCACGTAGCAGCAGCAGTCAACAGAAGCTGACTTTTAAATTTCATGGTGCCTCAAGCAGGGAGAACAAAAATAAAGAAATAGACTAGGCTAAAGCCTTGGGGAAGTAGCTCAAACATAACCTATTTAAGTTTACATGAATATAAATACATATACATACATATATAAATATCGTTAAGTAACTAATTCATCGGCAAAATAGCTGATTGACTAGTTAACCGACTAAATAAATACAATTCCCATTTAATTTTAATTTTAGTTTATATTTGTTTATTATTTATTTTTAATTAAATTTAAAAATATCTTTTCTAATTTTTTAATTCTATATATTTTTTAATTATTTGTTTCATATTTATTTAGTGTATTTACCTTTTTTAATTTATTATTTATTTACTTAAATAAAAACAAGCGCAAAACTCTAATAAAAATCTAATTTTTGTTCATTTAAACAATTAATATTGCTTCTCTATGACGCTGTAACGCAGTCTTCTCTAAGCCTTAAACTATATATGGTCTAGTAACAAGTATTTACATCTTTTATCTAATTATTTGCATTAAATATTTTATTTATTAATTTTTTTTTACTGAATTTTTTTAATGCCACATATAGTATATATTTGTCACCAAATTTAATCATTGTTTATGATTATAAATTTCTTTGTTCCAGAGGGTGACAGATCAGTAGCTAAGGGATTTGGGTGCTAGTGGGTTGTTGATATTATTCTCGCTGGAGATGAATAATTTTATAAGTTTACAATAATAATAATTTTATATTTTTACTGATTTTTACATTACTTTAATTACTTAGAAAATATACTTATAACAAAAAAAATTATTTCTTATATAATTTAACTATAATTTAGGCAATTGTTATATGAAGAAATCCACTTATTAACTTTAATAATAAAACAAGAATGAAAAGTTAATTACACTTTTTGCTTCAAACAATGCCCATCTCTCTTTACCAAACACTTTGCGGACTTGAATGCCCAGTAAAAATTCATGACCAGGCTACTGACCACGCCCATTGTGAGTGTGCGGCACGCGCCCTCGAAATAGTTGGCACACATTGAATTACGGCAGCCCATTCGCGTTTTAAATGCTGGCCAAATGCAATAAACGCCAACTAAAAGCCACGCCAACCGAGTAAAGCAAAAATCAACAGCAGCAAAACAAATAAGAGCTTCATGGCCGGGCATATCCGACTGCAGTAATAGACGTTCATAGCTGGACTAGGCAGAGCCATGAGTGGACCTGAGATTGAAATATGTATAAATGCAGCAAACTTAGAGTGTTTAGCTGAAATACATCCTTAAATAGTAAATAGGTTTTATAGTAAACATTTGAAGTATAGTAGATATTAGTATAGTAGATAGTATAGTAGATATAGTAGATATTTTATTTGGCTTTTAGGCGATATCAATCAACTATGTAAAAAGGTTAGAGTTCAACGTATGTCATTCAATGGATGTAAATTACTCTATATATTTTATATTGTTATATAAGTTAAGCGCACCCACACTAGAGTACTAGTGATTGGGGACGCTGTGTTGGGTTCTTGTGAATATATAACAACTTGGTGTTCGATGAAATAATATATTTCATATAATTTGGAACAATAAGTCTGAACTGTGTCTGGTCCGAATATAAACTGAACTAAATCTGTTCAACTGGTTAGGTTCTCCCCTTGAATGTCTGACTGGATTCTCCAGCCTCCTTAGATTGTCGAAAGTCTTAACTTATATATTGTTAATGATTATTGTAGTATATACCGATACATATTCCAAATTTAAAGTCTTCAGCTCCAATAGCAACAAAAAATTTATTGATTTTTGATCAAATAAGCTATATGCAAAGAGATTCAATATNTTTTATTTGGCTTTTAGGCGATATCAATCAACTATGTAAAAAGGTTAGAGTTCAACGTATGTCATTCAATGGATGTAAATTACTCTATATATTTTATATTGTTATATAAGTTAAGCGCACCCACACTAGAGTACTAGTGATTGGGGACGCTGTGTTGGGTTCTTGTGAATATATAACAACTTGGTGTTCGATGAAATAATATATTTCATATAATTTGGAACAATAAGTCTGAACTGTGTCTGGTCCGAATATAAACTGAACTAAATCTGTTCAACTGGTTAGGTTCTCCCCTTGAATGTCTGACTGGATTCTCCAGCCTCCTTAGATTGTCGAAAGTCTTAACTTATATATTGTTAATGATTATTGTAGTATATACCGATACATATTCCAAATTTAAAGTCTTCAGCTCCAATAGCAACAAAAAATTTATTGATTTTTGATCAAATAAGCTATATGCAAAGAGATTCAATATACTCCCTTTTACTCTTTTAAAAAGTATAAATATATATATAAAAATAAAACAAAACCAAAAAATATATATATAGATATGTATATATAAACAGTAAAAGAAACATACGGAAATTCCATGGCAAAGTAAAAATGCTGAAAATAAAGAAATGCCAAAAGAAATGCAATAAAATGCATTAAAATGCCAAACGAGTGCAACCAAACAATTTCTATGGCCAGCAACAATTGTGGATCCATACGGAATATACATATATACATATACATATGTACATATGCATGTATATATATACATACATATCTTTCATATGCTACGACAATTGAATACAGCGCACAATTAGGCACAAATATGATTCAACGATATACCGATATATAAACATATATACATACTCATATATTTATATATATGTATATATACACACGCATCACATATTTTTATGGCCAATAGTTCGCATAAATCTGAACCAACTGGCCTGTAATTCAAAACGTGCTTCGTGCTACCATAACGAATAGTAGTTTAATAATTTATGGTCCAGCTTGATTTTTGTATAGACTGTACAATGTACTTGCAATGCGCCCCAAAGTATGCAACGCCTTTTGCCTTTCGCCTTCCGCCTTTTGCTGTCCAATGAGCCGGAAATGCTGAACAACATTGCGTTCGCCGGTCTGCGGCCAATGCGCTTTTAATGCGTTCTTTGACTCTGGCGCGCGCAGACAAACCGCATTACAGATTTCCACCGAGGTTAGCTGAATGAATGCAAAGCCTATAAAATGGCAACAAATCGAAGCTGGTATTATGATTGCACTTAAATTGTCGTAAAATCTGCCTTTAAATAAAAATGATGGAAAACAAGGGCACAGCATAAGCTTGAAGCTGTTGATTAAATTCGGTAGGGGTAATGGACTTTGCTATGAACTTGTCTGAAATTCTATTGAAAATATCTCCCACGCAAACAAAGTTTAAAAAAGCTTTAGAATTTTACTTTCAGCTAGCAAAACTGGAATATTTAAATATTATTCATTTTTAGGTCTCAAGAAAATTAATATTATTGTATTACTATATATGTATGTATATATACACATAAAAAAGTATAAATATTTTTCTGTATTATTATTTATTTTGTTTTATTTTGCTTTAAGAAAAATATGTAGTCGTATAAAATATTTGGTATAGGCTCATTATTTACAGTAGTTACCTAATTGCACACATATTAAGTATTTTGGACAATTATTATCAATATTTAATATTAGCATTTTGTATCATATAAATTTGCAGAACATATTATATATAATATTGTCAATTATTATTAAAGATTATTATTAT